GCAGGAATGGCCCCTGACCTCAGTCTTAGGTGCTTCTGAGCCACCCCCACCCTGGCCCTCTTTCAGGGTGACTTACCCAGAGTGACCACCATGACTGGGATGCTGAGCCGCTGTCGTGTGGCCTGCGACAGGCGTAGAAAGCCATATTCTAGGGAGTACTCCACGATGTACTCATCCTGTGGCCACACTGTGGGTGTGGGCATGGCCTGTCAGCCTGCAGAACCCTGGCCATCCCACCTCCCACCTTTATATGAGGGGCCCAGAGAGAGAGCGACCACCTCCGTTGGCCTCACATGCTGCTGAAGGATGGGGAAATGGAGGCTGGGAATGGCTCTTCTTCCCATCCAGGAGTGTGACCCCACTCCCTTGCCCAGGTGACTCCACCTGACACCTTGGCAACAGGTACCTTTTGAGGGTGTCTCAGGGAAGGGGAACTCCCGGCTGTCATTCAGGGCCTCGGGGCCACTGGGTGGCTTGAACACCTTGGGCTCAATGTCCAGCTCAAACTGTGGGTCACCAGGAGGCAGGGCGTCAGTGGGCCCTCGGCACTGGGGGGCTGGCCCAGAAGCCCTTCTCCTGCCACCTGAAAGGAAATGTTCTCTGCCCCTGGCCGCTGTGACCCCCGGCCTGTCAGAATGTCCTCCACCTCTGGGGCTGGAGGGCTTCTGCCCAGCATCTCACCAAAGACCCCTCGCCTAACATCAAGCTCCTGACTCTCTCCAGGTGGGTGGTCTATGCCCCAAAGTTGGGGATGAGACCACCTGAGTGAGGTCTGTACAATACCCCACCTGTACTGGCTCTCCTATCCACAGGACCCTAGCCTCTGACTGCACAAACATGTCCCTCCCTGCAGACTGTAGGCCCCACACACCCACCCCCGTGGGCAGCCGTGCCATCTGGGATGGCCAGGAATGCTAAAGCTCTCAACCCAGACACTCGGGGGACCTCCTTGGTACTCCCAGAACAAGACCAATCCCTTCCATGTGACAGTCAGCCTCACACAGCCCTCCATCCTGCTCCAAGGCCACACAACAGCCAGGCCCTGCAAGGTCCAGAGCTTCCCTAGCAGCAATGTCATCCTGCACATGCACTCGGCCAGATCACCTGGATGGAGCGGTTCCCAAACATCTCCATGGTCAGCTCCTCCTCCTCCTCTTCTTCCAGCTCCAGGCCACCAGGCGCCGCTGCCAGGCTGGGAAAGCTGCTGTGACTACTGTCACAGAACTGCAGGAAGACGGGCGCACGACTCGAGTTCTGCTGTACCTCCACGCGTAGGACACCCTCTCGTGGCCACTTGTCCCGCACGTGCTCCAAACAGTTGATAGGTGATCGGGAGAAGACGATGTGGATGTAGGCCAGGACGAAGAGCACGAACAGGGCCTGGGGGTGAGGACACCCACCCTGACAGTGAGGCCTAGGCCTCAGCTTTGTGGGGAAAGGGAACCCTGGGGCTCTGAGGTTCCCTAAGCCCTAAACTTGCTCTGGCCTCTCCTGACTGCATGAATTTGGGGAGTGTCACTGGTCTAAGGTCCTGACCACCCTGCTCTGTGTGAACCAGGATGAGGCACTCTTGTGCATATGTGGGGCCCCCACCTGGGGAGTGACCAACTAACCTCTCCCCTTCTGGGAGGCCCAGCCCAGGTGCCACCACCCTTGGGCCACCTGCTGAGTCCCCACTGTCCCCAAGAGGCCTGCCCAGCTGCCTCACACTCAGCCTTGTCTTCAGAATGCCCCTGACCTTACCAGCTAAAAACAGTCTCCCTTACCCACCAGGCACACTGCACCCCTCCCACCAAGGCAAGGCTGGTTTGCACTGCAAGCACAGCCAACCCTTGCAGCCTGGGCCAGCTCATTCTGCCTGAAGCAGTTTCCCCATCAGTAAAATGGGGACAGCGTGGTTTCATCTGGGTGTTCCTGCTTCCAGGGGACATGGGGTCAGGTTTGGGGGCATCTCTGGTTGTACACTGGGAACGCGCCTGGAGTCAAGGGGACGGTGCCAGAGGATGCTGCACACCACCCTCGGCACACCAGTGGCCAGAATAGCCCCCCACAGAGAACAAGCAGCCCAGTATCAGAAGGGTTGCTCACGGTAAGAGCACCAAAAGAGCCCTCCACTGAGGTCTATCTAGGTGCACCCTCCTCCCCAAGAGCCCACCTCACTTCCTGACATTCTTGCTTCACATGGGGCCCCAGTTGTTGAGGTCACCCTCCCAGCCTAGAGGACATGTCCAGTACATCACCCTCATGTATCCCACCTACTGCCCCACCCTTGGGAAAGAGCCCAACTGCCTGATGTAGTACCCACCTTCCTACAAAAATATGGGTGTTAGGGAACTAGCGACCCCTGTGACTGTTCAGCCAGAGACTGGAGTGATCCTTCCACTGGGCCAGCACAGCCTACACCCACCCCCACACCCGCACGCTCCCGCACCAAATTCCTACTCCCTAGGACTAACTGTGATCCAGAACCACAACTTGAAAAAGCCTGGATCATGGAGAGACCAGAGCACAAAGCCACCCACTACCCTCTGACAGGGTCACTGATGCTCAGGGGTTTGGTGAGTTTCCCATGGCCACAGCCACCAGTAAGGTTGCCAGAACCCCATCCCTATAGGACCATGAACCTGCTGCACTCCCGGCCTGGCAAGGGTGGTGGCTGTGACCTGAGAGGGATGGGGAGAGGCCCTGCCTCTGAGCACACTGCTGCATACTCGGATCTAGTGAAACCTGAAGTGGCAGCAGCCCACCCCAGACTCCCCAAGTGCATGAACTCCAAGATCTCTCCTGGGTCAATATGAACTATTTCTCTCCTTTATAGCCAAAAAATGCTGCAAGGGAACAAGGGACTAGGACATCACTAAAATCTCAGCAGACAGACATTGCAGCACCCAAGCATTCAGGTCTCAGCAGACAGATGCTGAAGACAAGAACACAGCTGGGGAGGAGGGGGCCAGGTGAGACAGTGAGTAATGCCAGAGGAGCCTCCCACAGGCCTGCACCCCAGCCCCTCTCAACTTGGTTTCTGGGGACCACAGAGCTGGTGGCGGGAGTTGTGAAGTGCAGGGGGTGGTGCTGGGATTCACAACTGCAGTGGGAAGCAATCAGACAGCTAACTCTGAAGCCTTTATGCTCAGCCCCAATCTCTAGGCTCTGGGGCTGGCTGGCAACCCAAGCACCTCTACCTCCACCAGCTCTACCTTCAGCATCAGCCTCAAAGTGAACCTGAAGTGAACCCGAAGATTGCTTGGCGATATCAAAAACCTAAGCCCCTCCCTGTCAGCACTCTGATAGGAAACTAAACGCCTATTCCTCTCTTTCCTCTGCCATATCAAGCAACAACTGGGATCACCTCTCCACTCAGGAACCCAGGATCCTGGGGCCCAGTGAGCTCTGGGCCCACACCTGAGTGAGGTGACCCTCTCCTTGAAAGGATCTGGATCAATGCTGGTCCTTTGGAAGTCTCTCTCATGATTGAAACCTCTATGCCACCTGAGGGAGGATGGGAAGGAGGTTCCTGTGCAGCTTCTTGTTAAGACATGAATAGTAGCAATGACTGTGACTTTGTCACTAAATCTGGAGAGATGACCTCAGCTAGGTCATATTCCCTGTAAGGCTTAGGGGGGGGGAACAGATGGGATTAGGGGGCTGGTGTAAGGTCCCGAAGAGGGGAACAGCCCCAAGAAAAGAGGAAGCAGAAGTGGTAAAAGTGCACTTCCAGTGCAGGTAGGTGGTTCCGGGGTGTGTCCTGAGCGGGGAGGGTGAGCCTAGAATCCTTTCAAGTTTTAGGAAGCCTAGGACTGGAGACCTGGGCCAGGACAAGCAAAGAGATGGCAGGATGGGGGGGTCCTCCCAAGGCTTAGGATCTCATGTGGCATGACAGGAGAGACAGGGCTGAGAGGAGGTCCCAGGCAGGTCAGGGGCAGGCTCCAGGACCCAGACCCCGAGGAAGTGGGTCATGAAAGGAACTGTGAGGCCAAGCATGGGTGCGGCCTGGAGAGTGCGGGGAGTTCCTGGAGTCGGGATCAGGGGCCCCCCACGGGGTGAGACTACGGACTCCCGAAGGTAATGTGTTAGGGGATCAGGCGCTGGAACGGCCAGCGGAAAAAAAGGGGTGGGTACCCAAGAGATCGTACTGGGTATAGACCTCAATATGGGAGGGACTGGTTATCCTGGGCGGAACTGGGGTCAAAGGTCACAGTTCTGGCGGTGGATTCGGCCGCTGGGGTCAAGGGTTGGGGGTCGGGGCCGCGGTCACCTTGAGCAACACGAAGAACTCGAAGAGACGGCGGAAGGCGGGCGGGAAGAGCCGCGAATAGGTGACTGCCATCTTGAAGAAGAGCGCATGGAAGAGTCGGTCGCGCACGTTGATGAGCGGGTTGGGGTTGAGGTTGGGGGTGCGGGGCCCGCGCGCGGGGGCAGGACCGCCGCCGCCGTTGGGCCCGGGCCCCGGGGCCCCGGGTGCCGCGTGCTCCGACATGCCGCCCAGTGTAGTGCCCTAATGGCCCGCGGGTCCCCGAGGGCCTCTCCTGGCCGCCATGGGCCTCCCTCTACGCCGCCGTGCTCCTCAGGGTGCCCTGGCCGCCACCGTCGCCATCTTCCGCCTCCGCGGCCCTACTGACGCCAGCGAGGCGTAGCGCCGGCAGGAGCGGCCTGCCTGAGCTCGCGGGGAACGTAGGGATGCCGACGGTCAGCCCATGGCGGCCCCGCCCTCTCGCCTCGTCGCGTTGTGGGGCGGGGGCAGCGTTTGCTCTACTTTTGCATATTGGCCCCACAATGCCCTGCGGCTGCCAGGACGCTCTTTGACGGTAAAGCTACTAAATATATGACGGTGTTAAGTGATCAAAGACACCTTAGGTAAGTGCGACCTTAGGTAGGAGATGTTATTTGAGGTGGCGCTGTAGAAAACCAGGCCAATTGTAAGTATAAGCTACGTCGCTCTGAATGTAAAGTAATTTTGTTTTTTCACTTTAAATAATCCACCATGAGGACTCGTGCTCCTGCTCCTGCTCCTGCTCCTGATCGCTTTGTAAACTGTTAGAGGTTAAGAGAAATAGTCTTAAGAGAGCTGAGCTGTTTGCTCAGGCTTAAGCAGGAAACCGCACCTAGCCCTGGGCAGGTGTTCCAGGGAGTTTAGAAGCCATAAGAATTACTCAAGCAGACAGCCTCCTGGAAACATCCGTTAGGGTGGAAAAATTTTACCCCCCCCCCCCCCCACATAACCCGAGCACGAGCTGTTCGTGAACCTCACAGGCCAATCATCAGCAAGATCATAAGCCCCTGAGCCAATGGCTAATTGCCACCTTCTTCTGGAAAGTCGCTTGCTTGCTCGCTTCTATAAGAACCCTAGCCTGTAAGCGTTTGGCGCGACTCTCATCTGCAGCCATTTTGGCACGGTGTCCCCGGACATCCCGAGAGTTCGCCCCTGCGCAGGTAAAGCTTTGGCCCAATAAACATCTTTGACTACCCGACAGTCTCCGTCCTTTCTCTCTCCCGAAAGTGGGATGTAACATTTGGAGGCCCCAGCGAGGTATAAGTTCGAAGACTGGATGGGTTGCTCGAGCAAACGTAAGTAACGAGGATCCTCTTTTGTCTTGGAAGTCTAGACTGCTTGACCCTGAGGTGGTTGGTAAGACGTTACCGCGATTCCACCCAGGGACTCCCAGACGAGGGGACGCCCTCGGGAGAAGTGACAAGGTCACTTTGTGTTCAGTTTCACTTCGCGCTGCGTCGCGCTGCGAAAAACGTGTGCCTGAGAACCGCGGTTCGCCTGTGTGTGATAAGAGATTGTGCTTGTTTGTGTGTTTTCTGTTAGTCTTGGTTGTTACCGTTCTTGTCTCTGAAATCCCCAAGGTCGTCCAGCGCATCAGGATGGGCCAGAGTGGATCCGTGCCCGGGTCACCCCTCGATTGCCTATTAAACAACTTTTCCGATTTCCAGAGGCGCGCCAGTGGATATGGGGGACCTCCGCCGGACCCAGAGTTCCTCCGGACTCTCAGCCAATTAGAGTGGCCCACCTTCGATGTGGGGTGGCCCACTGAGGGAACCTTTGACCTCCCCATTTTATTTGCTGTTCGTGCCACTGTATACCAGGTGCCCCACCCAGACCAGTTCGTCTATATTGATGTCTGGGTAGACATAGCCACTGAGTGCCCAGGGTATATTCGGAAGTGCATGCAGGCCAATAGGAGGAGGCGGAGGGCTATCTGTGTGACTGCAGGTCAGGGGGGGAACAAGGAGGTAAGCAAGAAATCTGACGCTGGAGGGTCTTGCGCTGCACCCCCGGCCAGACCCAGGCTATACCCAGTCTCACCCGGACAACCTGAGGATCCTTTGGATCCAGCCCTCGCGCCGCCCCCATATCTCAGCCCACATGAGCCAGACTCTTCCGAGCAGGGGAAAGGAATCCAAAGCCCATCCCATACCCGTGGCGGCACTCAGTATGGTGAAGGCAAGGACTCCCCAGACGGGGCGGACGCGGTTGCCGCCATTTTGCTGTTGCGAAAGGCCCCGCCGGGGCCAGATGTGCCGCGAGCCCCACCCCCACCCCGTTTGATCTATGTACCCTTCTCCACCAGTGATTTGCTCAATTGGAAGTATCAAAACCCCCCTTTCTCAGAGAAACCTCAGGGGTTGATTTCCCTTTTAGAAATCATCTTCAGAACCCACCAGCCCACTTGGGATGATTGTCAGCAAATTCTGCAGACCCTATTTACCTCAGAGGAAAGAGGTAGAATTATGAGGGAAGCAGCAAAAGCCATTATGGGGGAGGAGGGAAAAACTACCGGGGGAAGGAGAGAACTAGAGGATATCCTACCCTCCCAACCTCCTAATTGGGATCCGAACTCAAGTGGTGGAAGGGAAGCGCTCCTCCAATATCGCCGGGCTCTACTGAGGGGACTTAAGGCAGCAGCAAGGAAGCCCACGAATTTCAGTAAGGTACGTGAGGTTATTCAAGGGCGGGATGAGTCACCAGGAGCCTTCCTAGAACGACTGATGGAGGCATACAGGGTATACACCCCATTAGATCCAGAAGCGGAGGAGAATAGAAGACTAATTAACATAGCGTTTGTAACCCAAGCGGCCTCAGACATTAGGAAGAAGTTACAGAAGCTGGAAGGATTTGAGGGGCATAACATAAGCAAACTCTTAGAAATAGCACAGAAAGTATATATCAATAGAGATGATCCAGAGGTAGAGAGGGCAAAGGAGGTAGCCAAGATCTTGATTGCGGCACAGAAGGCACCCCAGAAAGGGAAAGGGAACGGAAAGCAGCAGCAGAGAGGCCAGAGACAGCGACTAGACAAGGACCAGTGTGCATACTGCAAGGAAAAAGGACACTGGAAACGGGACTGCCCCAAATTAGGAGGTGAAAGCAAGGGCCCAAAGCATGGCCAGGAAGTCCTCCTCCAGACTTTGGACTGACGGGGCCAGGGCTCCATACCTGTTGGCTCCCAGGAGCCCATGGTCACCTTAACTGTCGAGGGCAAGCCAATAGACTTCCCAGTCGACATGGGAGCCACCTTTTCTGTCTTAAAGCAACCCCGAGGGCAAATTCAGAAGGCAACCACAAACATTGTAGGGGCAACGGGCAAGGCAGAAGCTTACCCGTGGACAACTGCCAGGATCACTGACTTGGGTCGAGGCACGATTACCCACTCCTTCCTAGTTATTCCAGACTGCCCATACCCGCTGCTCGGGAGGGACCTGTTGCAGAAGCTCCAAGCTATGATAACCTTCAGACAGCAGGAGGACCCCGAGGCGGGAGCCAGCATGGAGGTAACGGTCCCCCTCTCTGAGGAATACCTGCTAGCCGCACTACAGAACGGAGAACGGGAGGAAGCAGGAATCCCAGAGATACTGCGAATGCAGGTACCGGGGGTTTGGGCAGAAACTAACCCACCCGGACTGGCCATCCACAGCCGCCAGTGCTGGTCCCGCTGTCAAGCACGGCCAGCCCGATCAGGATCAGGCAATACCCCATCCCGACGCGGGCCAAGCAGGGAATTGCGAGGCACCTGCGGCGCCTGCTAGAAGCAGGCATTCTGAGAGAGTGTCAGTCCGAGTGGAATACCCCTTTGTTACCTGTTCAGAAGCCTGGGACCCAGGACTATCGCCCGGTGCAGGACTTGCGGGAGGTAAATGCCCGGGTAGAGACTATACATCCTACTGTGCCCGATCCATATACTTTATTAAGCTCGTTGCCCCCAGCTCATACATATTATTCTGTTTTGGACTTGAAAAATGCCTTCTTTTGTATACCCCTGGCCCCCTAGAGCCAGGAGATTTTTGCTTTTGAATGGAATGACCCCGAGAATGGACTGGTAGGGCAGTTCACATGGACCAGGCTGCCCCAGGGGTATAAAAACTCCCCTACGATTTTTAATGAAGCCCTTGGCAAGGATCTCCAGGAGTTCCGGAGATCCCACCCAACTATAGTCCTCCTCCAGTATGTAGATGACATCCTCATAGCAGCTCGAGAACGGGAGGAGTGCGAAGTGGCCACCCTAGACCTGCTGCGAGACCTTGAGAGGATGGGATACCGAGTCTCAGCCAAGAAGGCTCAAATCGTAACCCAAACTGTAAGTTACCTGGGGTATAACTTACAAGGGGGACAGAGAACTTTGTCCAGCCAGCGGATCCAAACGGTTCTGCAGATTCCAGAGCCAACCACCAAAAGGCAAGTACGTGAATTCCTGGGGGCTGTAGGATACTGCAGGCTATGGATATTAGGCTTTGCAGAAATAGCGAAGCCCTTGCATGAGCTAACTAGGGGCAAAGAGGACTCATTCACATGGACTGAGAAAGAAAGACAGGCCTTCTGGACCTTAAAAGAGGCCTTAGTAGCTGCCCCACCCAGCCCTAGCCTTGCCAGATTTGACAAAGCCTTTCCAATTATTTGTAGCAGAAAAGGAAGGAGTTGCCCTGGGCGTTCTGAGTCAAACACTAGGGCCATGGAAAAGGCCCGTGGCCTACCTATCCAAGAAGCTTGACCCAGTTGCTTCCGGGTGGCCAGCCTGCTTGAGGGCCATAGCAGCCACGTCGTTGTTAGTTAAGGAAGCAAGCAAGCTAACTCTAGGAGAGGATATACAAGTCATTGGAGAACATTATATAGAGCAAGTCCTGCAGATGCCCCCAGACAGGTGGTTGTCCAATGCGCAGCTGACACAGTACCAGGCACAGCTGTTGAATCCTCCAGCAGTGGAGTTTCTCAAGGCCACTGTTTTGAACCCAGCTACTCTGCTACCAATACCAGACGCCGCAATCATCCATAACTGCACCTAGGTACTTGACACGGTGACTGGGTCCTGCCCAGACTTGCGGGACCAGGCCTATGAAAGGGCAGACATGACCCTCTTCACTGATGGGAGCAGTTTTATAAAAAATGGACAGCGATTTGCGGGGGTAGCAGTGACCACGGAAGATAAAGTACTGTGGCAAAAGGCGCTGCCCATAGGAACATCTGCACAGAGGGCAGAATTGATAGGACTAACCCAGGCCCTACGACTAGCTGGAGGGAAGGTTGCCAATATCTACACTGACAGCCGCTATGCATTCGCCACCACCCATGTCCATGGAGCCATCTATAAGGAGAGAGGCCTCCTGACAGCAGGAGGAAAGGACATTAAGAATCGTGAGGAGATCCTCGCCCTCCTAGAGGCCATATGGCTACCCAAGAAGGTCGCTATCATACATTGCAAATGCCATCAGAAAGGGGAATAGCCTAGCTGACACTGCCGCCAGGGAGGCTGCAACTGGCCAAGGTGACAACTTGCTCTCCCTGATACCCCAGCCAGGGCTGCCTCCAGACCCCAAATACTCCTTAGAGGAAGAACAAGAAGGAACTAAGCTAGGTGGGAGAAAGGATAAGAATGGGTGGATAATACTCCCTGACACTAGAATATATTTACCTCAAGGAGTATTAAGAGGAATAGTTCAGGACATCCATACCAGCACCCACTTAGGACAGAATAAGTTAGAGCAGCTAATCAGAAAGTATTACCTAGGACTGCACCTTAGGGAGATAACACACTCGATCATCTCACGATGTAGGGCCTGTGCCAAGGTAAATGCACAAAACAAGAAGCTGCCCTGCTTCGTGAGGTATCGGGGAAAAACCCCAGGAGAACTTTGGGAAGTCGACTTCACTGAAATATCTAGAGGGAAGTTGGGTTACAAATACTTACTAGTCCTAGTTGATACCTACTCAGGGTGGGTTGAGGCTTTCCCCACAAGAGGAGAGACTGCCCCCATAGTTTGCAAGATTTTTAATGAGAGAAATTATAGCCAGGTATGGGATACCCCTGGCCATAGGATCTGATAATGGACCTGCATTTGTTTCCAAGGTTTCACAAGAACTAGCAGCTAGGCTAGGAATCAATTGGAAACTTCATTGCATCTACAGACCACAGAGTTCAGGGCAAGTAGAAAGAATGACTAGAACTCTTAAAGAAACCTTGATAAAGCTCAAGGAGGAGACCGGCGAAAATTGGGTAGAGCTACTCCCTTTTGCCCTCTTCTGTGTAAGATGCACCCCCTATATTAAGACATGGGCGCCCTTTGAGATATTATTTGGACAGCCCATACCTTTGGTCCCCCACTTAACTAAAGAGGAAATAGAAGTCTCTAACCACAACTTCCTTAGGCCCCTGCAAGCACTGCAGAAGATCCAGAACGAGGTGCATGCTTTTCGGCAGGCCCAACACCGAGAAGGGGGAAGCGAGACACCGGAATCGCCAGAGCCTGGACAATGGGTATGGATCCTCAACCTTAGGAAAGAAAACTTAGAACCTCGGTGGATTGGACCATTCCAGGTACTGTTAAGCACCCCCACTGCAGTCTGGGTAGCGGAGAAACCATATTGGATCCATCTTTCCCACACCAAGACAGCCCGGGCGCCGGAGGAGAAATCTCAAGGATGGCGAGTTCAGCAGGACCAGGACAAGCCCCTAAAACCCACCTTCTCCCGTGCTTAGGGATGCGGCTCGTCTGTTGGGCCACTCTCGCAAGGGGACACACCCATCAGTGGGTTCTACTTAGATCCCCTGATAGTGAAGTGATTGCCACCAACAACACGGGACACCAACAGCCCCTGTGACTCTTCAGGCTGACCTCTCACAATGGTTCGACCACAGGCTCTGTGATGGGGATGGACTTCATTCTGATGACCCGAACCGGGCTCAAACCCAACGGGGGGCTGCAGGGGAAGAAGGATCAGATTGTAAGAATAATGAAAATCTGAACAGAGATCTGTTTCACACAGACCTCTACGCATGTCCAGAGAGAAAAGGGCGTGTGCGCACAACAGGCTCCTGTGGTGGAATAATTGGAGATTACTATTGTAAAAAGTGGGGCTGCGAGACTATCGTCTCGCCCCCCCTCATGGACTCCAGGGGCAGGAAAAGATCCACACATCATCACAAGGGATAGGTCCAGCACACCAGGAAACAAGGAGAACCCCCGCTGTGCTCAAGATAGATGCAACCCTGTCACAGTAACAATCCTGGACCCCAGCAATTCTGGATGGGAAAAGGGTCGCACCTGGGGGCTGTGTTTATACACCTTGCAGTGGAATCCAGGAGTCCTTTTCACGATTAGGCGAGTCCCCCAGGCAGAAGGGCCAGTTATGAAAGGATTTGGGAATGGCTTGCCACCGAGGCCTTCCCGGCCTCTCATAAGCCCCCCTAAGGTTCCCAGCAGACCAGGGACACCCACCCCAGAGAGTCCAACAGGAACTGACCATCAGGAACCCCTAGATACCCAGAACCTGCTCCTTGAAAGACCCCACCACCAAGAAGCAGACACCCTAGACCTGCTAGATAAGATTTTCCCCTTTTTCAATGACACTCAGCCAGACCTCACAGAGTCGTGTTGGCTGTGCTTATGTAGGGATAGGAGCCAACACGACTGCGGGAAGCGCCAATGCCCCAGAGGCCCTGACAGATCATCAGAGAATAGGAGACTGTCTGACTGATAGTGCGTTGACCCTTGCAGAGTTCCACGGAAATGGGACCTGCTACCTCCTCAGCAACTTTAGTTTACCCTCCTCCAACTATAGTGATTATTGTTTAAATCAGGAGATAGTGCCCCAGCCCGGCCGCGGACATCAACCCGCACAGCAAGTTACTCAGGCAGCTGAGGGGCTATGGTTCATTTGTACACAAGGGATATTTAAGTGCTTAGTGCCCACAGGTCGCCCCAAACTGTGTGTAAGCGCATATATCATTCCCCAAGTATATTTATATGGAGGAAACCCCACCTCTCTAGTAGAACCCCGTAGATGAACCACGAGGGCCCCCTTGTTAATCCCCATATTGGCCACTGTTGGTATACTAGGCTCCACAGCTGTAGGAGCTGGGGCGATTGTCCGTGGTGAACGGAGCCTAAAGCAACTGTTGCTATCTTCAAGGAAATCACCCTACTACAAGATCAGGTAATTTATCTCGAGCGTCGGGTAGACTCCCTGGCTGAGGTAGCCCTGCAGAATAGAAGAGGACTAGACCTCCTCCTCCTACAGCAAGGTGGGCTATGTGCTGCCCTAGGAGAACAATGCTGTTTTTATGCCAACCATTCTGGAATAATTCGAGAAAATATCAAAATCCTCACTAAAAGATTAAAGGATAGGGAGCAAGAAGAAGAAAACTCTAGTTGGTATGCATCCCTGTGTAAGACCTCACCGTGGCTGACCACGCTAATATCTGCTGTAGCTGGCCCCATTTTGATTCTTATATTAGCACTAACCATAGGACCTATAATATTAAACATTATTAGCCTTCATCAAAGAAAGAATAGAAATAGTGAAATTAATGGTACTCTCTCAACCCTATACAATTCTCCCCTCTGACGAAAATGAGTCAAGGGTTTGACCCATTGTCCAAGAAGATGGGGGAATGTTAGAGGATAAGAGAAATAGTCTTAAGAGAGCTGAGTTGTTTGCTCAGGCTTAAGCAGGAAACTGCACCTAGCCCTGGGCAGATGTTCCAGGGAGTTTAGAAGCGATAAGAATTACTCAAGCAGACAGCCTCCTGGAAACATCCATTAGGGTGGAAAAATTTTACCTCCCCCCCCCACATGACCCGAGCACGAGCGGTTTGTGAACCTCACAGGCCAATCATCAGCAAGATCATAAGCCCCTGAGCCAATGGCTAATTGCTACCTTCTGCTTCTGGAAAGTCGCTTGCTTGCTCGCTTCTGTAAGAACCCTAGCCTGTAAGCGTTTGGCGCGACTCTCATCTGCAGCCATTTTGGCACGGTGTCCCCGGACATCCCGAGAGTTCGCCCCTGCGCAGGTAAAGCTTTGGCCCAATAAACATCTTTGACTACCCGACAGTCTCCGTCCTTTCTCTCTCGAGAAAGTGGGATGTAACATAAACCGCTGTGGGTACCATGCAGCACCATGTGATGCCATTGGGCCCCTGGGTGCCCTAGTAGAGCCTCTTGGCCGGAGTGGAGGGGCCCTTTGACGTAATATGGCACTAGCATGCCCCGCCTCTCCCCTCATTGCACATATTGGCGACTGGGCGGACCTCTAGCTGGTACCACGCCCCGAGCCAGCAATTTCGCCGGCTGGTGACGGGCACTTACAGACCACCCTTGCGTGAGAGGAGAGTCTGGTTTAGCGGAGCCTCATTTTGTCATTTTTGACCTGAACCTACCCACACTTCACACTTTCCAACTTCTTTTCCTCTGTTAGGTGTTCGCCTACAATATGCCAGGTGCTTCTACCCCAGTCAACAATTTAAGGCTTGGAAGGCGGGAGTAGGAGAAATGGGGCATGGGGGGAGGACCCTGAGCAACTACCCTGAAGAAGGACAATGGAAATCCTATTCTGTGGCAAACGGTTTAGGGAAATGAGCATACAATGCCCAGGGCTCGTGCACTTGTATTGGGGGCACAGTGGTGGTCACACAGGCCAGTGCCTGCTTTCATAGAACTTGGGGACCAGCATGGAGACGTGCAAATAGACGAGATGGTGTCTGGTCTGGTTCCTAATGTTGAACGCCCTGCTGTGGTGCAGATGGAAGCCTCTGAGAAAGGCCAGGGCATGGGGGGTTGTGGGGGTGGCTGTTCTGAATTGAATTGGTTGGTCAGGGAAGGGTGTGACCCAGAGGCTGAGGAGAACCTTCCAGACTTCCCTGCCAGATTTTATAATCCTGGGAGCCCAGTGCCATTAGTGGATGGACAGACTCAACACCTGAGCTACCACAACCTGGAGGCCGAAGTCACTCTTCCTGTTTCACAGAAAATGCTTTCCGTGGTGCCTGACATAGAGTAGGTGTTCAATAAAGTACCCTCCTGAAATTATTATGCATCATCCTGCATCCCTCTTCCCTCCACATCACTTGTTGATTGCAAAGAGAGAGGAAAAAAATCATCTTTTCCAATGGAGAAGCCAGGCTGACTTCATGCCCTTGACCTGGAAAGCACCCCCTGCCCCACTGTGGCAGGCGCTGTGGGTCTCTCTGATATGTCCAGCAAGGCCCAATGCATCACCCACACTGGCTCCTGAGCAGAGCAGTGTGTCCTGTGTGGCCAAGGAGCACAATTTTAAACTTAGTTAATTTTTTGTCAATTTAAGTTACACTGAAATAGCCCCACGTGGTGGGCAGCTGCTGTGTCTAGCTGCAGCATTCCAGTGCTCACTCTCACATTACAGAAATACGGGACGCATGACACCGACACCAATGAAACTTCACACATCCGAACTGTGTGGCCAACCACTGGTTGACTGCCTGGCCTCCTAGGATAGTCACCCTCAGGAAAAAGGACAAGCTGGGAGAAATGCTTCTAACACTAAACCACAAGGAATAGAGGGGGACTGAACACCACACCACCCTTCTGGGGACAGCAGGAAAGTTAGAAGCTGAGCTGGATTTGGGAGGATGCTTATGGATGTGTGTGTGTGTACCAGCAGGGGGAGGGGGCATTGGGTGGTAGCCAAGCTGGACCAGGTTGAGAGTTACATGGGGCTGGAAGCAGAGGGGAAGCACTGAGCAGGTGACCTTCCACTAGGACCTGGAAGGAAGACAGTGGAGGAACCAGGTAGGAAGAATATCAGGCAGAGGGTGTAGCCCAAGCAAAGGCCCTGAGGCACAGCAAGGAAAAAGCCTGGAGGACACTTTCATTGAGGGGAAATGGGGAGACATGGCAGACTGTGAGCAAGAGAGGTTCCTGACCCAAGTTAACAGGCTGAGGTTATTGTTACTTTTGTTTTCCTGTATCATGCTTGTTCCACCATAGTGTCCAGGAGTAAACTGACTCTTTGCAGAGAGCAAGAGGAGGGCCTGAAGCCCCCAGGAGGTGCCCACAGCCCTGGGTCCCACCTTGAACCTCTGGCATCCCACTCAGAGCCCACACACTGCAGGGAGAGGGTTGCTGTGGAAGTGGCAGCCGGGAAGGGGCCCCAGAGTCCTCACTGCACTCACAGCCCCCCTCTGCCCAGCCACCAGGACACCTACGTTCAGACCTCTGCCCAGCACCCACCCGAGGCCCCTGCAGTCTTCCAGGTGTCACCCTGGATGGATCAGTGAATGTCACCCTGGATGGATGGTGCTAAGGGCACAGGGCAGCTGCAGAAGCTCAAAACCTCCCTGCCAGGCTCCCCTGGCAGAGGCCAAAATCCCTAAGATTTTGACTGTTGACTGAACAACTCTTATCTCAAGGTTTACACACATGAATCCAAGATTTCAGCCCTAAAGGCAGTAGGTGCTTTGCAGACAGGAGAGGGAGGCACAGAGAGGTGGCACGTAATTGTAGAAGGTCACACAGTCAGGTGGGCAGTCGTGATTTGAACCCAGGCTCCAAGGAGGGACGCCGCAGCTGTAGGACCACCACACAGAATCACGATTCCATCAATCCAAGGTCCTCGGGTAGAGTCTACAGATAGATGGAATGGGAGAATGACAGAGAAAGAAAAGAGGCATCGAAAGTTGGGGCATCAGGGATGACTGCTCTCCAGGGAAGAGATAACAGTGAGTCATCACTGAGCCCTCGCAGAATCCAACCAGCCACTTATCAAATGCGTCAAACTCCTACACATGCTTCAAAACCCCATCTCGTGTCTCCTCTCCGTGCAGCTTTCCTTGCCCTTTCCAGTGGAGCCCCCACCTCCCCTCCAGGTTCCTCCACCCCAGCCCCCTTTTCTGTCCTGTACTTGCTCTGTGCCTGGCTCTGTCTCCCCAGGGGTGAGCAGGGCAAGGGCTAAGTATTCCTGGGTGCCAGAATTGCCTAGCAAGGGACAAGAGCTTTTGATGAATGAATAGGTATGTGAATCAATGAATGAACAAATTACTGAATGAATTAATTAATTTATTTAATTAATTTATTGATTTATCTGTACAAGTAGACATCACCTATTGAGTGTCAACTGTGTGCCTGCCCTGGTGTGCTTAGTAGCCTAAGCCCAGGGCATCTCCTGACTTCAGCTCTCCGCTGTTTCATACACGCACCCCCATCATTCCTCAGCCCAGAATTCAAGGCCCCTTCTCATCCCCTCTCTCCCAATTTATCTGATTGGTCTCTACACACTTTCAACCACTGACAGTCTCCCTAGGTCTTATCACTTTTTGCTCTGCCAGGAACATGAATCCCTTTTAGACTAGCAAACTCCTAGTCATCCATAAGAACCCCAGCTCCAGTGGCCCACTTTGGGGACTCATCTAGTTCCCTTGCCCACCACCCAGCTCTGAGAGTTCGGGGGGGGGGGGGTGGTAAACTGCAAGATGCCTCTAAGTGGCAGAGAGAGGTTCTCATTTGTGCCCCAAGGGAATTACGGTCCCACTAAACAATTCTCCTTTCATCATCGTGCAGAAGGGTAAACTGGGACCCAGAAAGGATGAGAGAGCCACTTGGGGGCCCCCAGCAGGGAGAGGGCAGGCGTGTCATGCGTTGGTAGTCCAGAGCTCCTGCCCTTCCCGACCTCAGTTTCCCTCCTGGCCCCTGGGGTTGAGGCTCTCAGCTGAGGCGGGGGTCCGAGGCGGCTAAGAGGATTCAGGAAGTCCTTGGCCGAAGGAATCCGGCGCATCACCGCCTTATAAGGCCATGTGCGCCGGGGGCCAATCACCGGCGGGGGCGGGGCCCGGACCGGCGCGTCCCCAGCCGTCTCACCAGGCGGGTCGTCTGTCCCGCCGTCGCCGCTGCCGAAATGAGCTCCACGCAGTTCAACAAGGGACCCTCGTACGGGCTCTCGGCCGAGGTCAAGAACCGGGTGAGTGAGGGGAGCCTCGGTCCCGCCATCGGAGATCCCGTACCCTCGGACTTCTCCAGGACCCCGGGCACCGCCAGGCTCCCCGCTGTCTGGAGCGCAGTAGCTCTGAGACCCGGGGTGAGAGTGGCCCTCCTCCTCCTCAACATTTGTGGTTCTGGGGATGCCAACCGAGACTTCCTGAACTCCGGGGGAGCAGTGACGTCCGCGATCTGGCACCGCCGCAGTGGCTAGGAGTGGTCGGATCTGACCCTTTCCCCAGCCCTGCTCCGCAGCCCTCCCCCATCTGAACCCCACAGCCCTGGGCCCCTCCAGCACTTTAAGGCCTCAGAAAAACCTGCGGATCTGAGAGGACCCCAGTAGCCCCCTCCTTATCCCGTGGCCACATTCCTGCTTTTGGTGCCACTTAAGCTGCAGAAGGAAAAGGAGGTGGGCCAACTGTTAGTGTTTGTTTGTTTTTTAATTAGTGTGTGGGCACCCCCCACAGGAATTTCCCAACCTTCTGCACCTGGGGTGGTGAGCACCAAGGGGAAGTTGGAGAGGAGGAGGCCTGCCTGAGCTGTTCCTTTGTATGTTTTCTTTGTCTCCATCTGACAAAGGAACAGCAAAGGGATCCCCTAGGATGCCCAGGTCCCCCGAATATAACCTTAAACTGTGTGGGTTTTGTACCTGGGAAACATGGGGTGAGGCTGGAGGGAGACACTCTTTAAGAAAACTTTTGTGGTTCTGGCTCAGAGAGGAGCAGACACTTTTGGAGGGTCACACAGCAGGGCCCATCCTAGGGAAGGGGAAGCATGGGGTGATCCCACACCCTGGTGATTGTCCCAGGCCTGATAAGCAAGGGCCCTTCCAGCTGAGCAGGGCATTACCATTCCTGTGCAACCCCCCACATCCTTCCAGTAGACATCTGGGAATGTGGCCTTGGAAGGCAGCCTGCCTGGGCATGCTGAGGGCACAGCTCCACCAGCTCCAGATAGGTACCTGTGGTAGGTACCCCAGGGTCCATGGACAGCAGGGAGAATTCTGCATCACCTCCTGTGGGCTCCTTGGAGTCTCCCTTCACCCCTTTGACAAGAGGAAAAGCAGAGGCTTAGGAAGCCAAGGGACAGAGTGTGGTCACT